AGGCCGCACCCGCGTGCAGACGGAAAAGAACCCTCAAAAAAAAAACCCCTAAACCCGGAACCTTGAACCCCGAACCCTAAACCTTGAACCCCGAACCCTGAACCCTAAACCCTGAAGCCATAGAAATTGTTTGTTGTTGGTGGCCACCCGGAAACATATCTTATTCTCCGGTCAGGACACAGCTTTCCCAATTCCCATGCACCAATTTCCGTTTCAGCCAACCCACAACCCACAGCCCAGCTCAGCCCAGCCCATCCCAGCCCAGCCAGCCCAGCCCAGCCCAGGTCCAGCCACTTCTATACTCGCCCCCGCAGCCGGTTGCGAATCCAGCCCAGCCCAGCCAGCGCCAGATTCAAAGTATGGTTTCCAAAGAAACTGCTCAAAACTTTCGTTCAAAACTTTCGCTCCAAACTTTTGTTCAAAACGTTATTGGCACCCAAGCCCTTCACAATTTCAATCAACCCTGAACCCTGAACCCTACATCGACTGGTCCTGCGGCCCCTTGCTTTCCAAGACTCGCTGGCTCATTGCGAAGGCTCGCTAGAAGTGACAGCCGCACCTCGCCTGTGAGACTGTCTGCGAGAGTTTGATTCGAAAGGTGTCCAGAACCAGAGCCCGCAACGCGTCGCGGCCGCGCAAGGCGGCTTGTTCTTGTTTGAGGCTACCGGTTTGGGGCTTAAGGTTTAGTCGATGGCGTTGAGGATGGAGAAGGCTTATCATTTTTCCAAACGTCTTAGATGCCGACGCAGTAGGAAGATGTAGGAAGTTTAACAGCAGGCGTTTTAGATCAGGAGTTACAATCATGGCTTATGTAAGCTTCTCCCCTAGAACCAGTACTTGCGATCCTTTCGGCTTCTATTGAGATCTGGGTTAAGCCACGCAGCGGTTCATGGGAAACTCATCCTACTTGTACTGCTGACCGGAGTGTTCAATCAGAGTCTGGAAGACTTACTTGGCTACGCGACTCCCGACAAAACCTGATTTTGGCAGGCTGCGCCTAGGATGTCTAGCCTAGAGTCTTAGAGTTCATGGGCTCGTACATCTGTTTTTCACCTGGCACGAGTGTGTTTGGAAGCAAACGTCTTTTGGGGCCGCCTGGAATCAAGCATGCTCGTCAGAGGCGCCAGCAGGTTGCTCTGCGTCCGGGTCGGGAACTTGGCGAGCGTCCTGCGGGTCTCAGAGACCCTGCGGTTGATGCTTTAGGTTAGTTCTGGGTGCCGGTTAGGGTTTAGGCCGTTCTTTGTTTCGCAGATGCTGCGGTATTTCAGCCGCAGGTGCAGGTGACGGCGCCAGTGCTGCTGGGCAACATGCTCGCCTGGAACGGGACAGAGACGGGCCATCTTTTTGTGAGGTTGTTGGGATCTGGGAGCGTGGTACGCTGCAGCATTGTGGTCATGAGTAATCCGAGCTCGTTTATTCGGTCCGATGCGCTATGTAGGAACAGAGCACAATAGAGCAGCTCTCTTGGCGTTAGACGTCTGTTTGCAAATGCCAACCAGAACGTCGCAAGGACTAATACGAGATACGAGCAAGAACATGTAGACTCACCCCGGAATGCACGTTACGTAATGCACGTTACGTAGATCTCAATCTACCCACCCCCAAGGTGCTCCCCATCCGCGAGGCGGTGGCGCGGCGACGCCAAGTCTCCAGAGGTGCCGTGGACTTTCCAACCCCGCACTTTGGAGGTTAGATGTGGTTGCTTCTCGGCCAGGCCAAACGCACTTAAAAACGTGCTCGCCCCGGTGCCGTAGCCGCCGTAGCCGCCGTAGGCGTGGACGGTGTTGGGGCCATCGTTGCTGCGTTGGTCTACTTTCCCAGGTGCCAAGAACCACAGCAAGCCTCTGCAGGCCAAGCCGAGCGTCCTCTGCCGCTCTGCCGCTGCTTTGCTTCTCTTTTCATCTTTTGGAGTGCACAGGGCGGCTTCGGAAGCCAACGCCGCCCATCGGGCCTACCAGGAGGAGAGAGGAGGACCGGATGAGCAGAGCGGCTTCTTGTGTTCGGAGGACCGCGCCGTGATCATCGACCCGTTTCTTGTCCTGGGCTTACCAGCCTTCCAGCAACTTGTCTCGCTGCTGTGGTTAGAGACTTACTTGTCAGCATCCGGGGCGTCTGAGAACTTACTAAGCATGAAAGCCGCTTGCAGTCCAGGTGCATGTGGTCGGGGCCTCAGATTCGGTTCTGAGTTCTGATGCCCCGGTGCTACATACGGTGTTCGACTCAGAAAAGCAGACATAAACAAGAAGTGTGCAGGGGTGCAAAAGGAGAGATGCAGAGAACCCAACAGTGCAGGTGCGGTTGTGTTGTATTTGAGCCGCCCGCCAGGTGCGAGGATGTGGAGGATGAGTGGCCTCAGGCCGTCGCCCCACATGCACCAAGGCGTGCCGGAGCGGTAGCTTTCGGATTGAGGGTAGCGTTACACCAGCGCGACCTTTAGCGAAAGCTGATCCTGAGTGGGCGCGATGCGATCGAATTTAAGGGCAGAAATGGCAGGGCATATCTCTTCTGGTGAACCCCGAGTGCAGCAACAACTTTGTGCAAACGAATCCGTCCATCAGTCACTCCGGAGCCACTGCCTGCTCACAGATACGAAAGAGCTGACCCACTGCAAGCAGCAAGATTCGTGGCGCCCCCGAGGTTTGCATGAATTCGAGTGACTCGAGTCGCCCAGCCTTGCCCAGCCCAGCCCCCAGCCCACAGCCCAACCCCCAGCCCAGTCAAAACCAAAATTGAAAAGCACAAGACAAAACCCGCGCAAAACTTTCGGTCGAAACACCCGGTTCCGAACACCCGGTCCGAACCTTTTACAATTTCTATCGGTCCGCCAGCCCAGCCAAACCGAATTCGAAACCAAATCTTCCTTCAAACAACCCGGCCCAGCGCCAGCCGCCCGCCAGCCCACCAGGCCAGGCAGCCCAAGCCCCAGCCCAGCCAAAACCACAATTGAAATGCAAAAACAAAACCAGCTCAACACTTTCGGTACCCCGGGCCCGCACCCTATACAATTACAATTTCTATCCCCGGCCCAATACCAACTCTAAACCCTGAACCCTAAACCCTGAACCCGAAACCCTGAACCCTGAACCCAAAACCCTAGGCCCTAAACCCTGGACCCTGCACCCTGAACCCTAAGCCCTAAACCCTGAGCCCGGAACCAGCCCGGAACGCTGAACCCCGAACCCTAAGCCTTGAACCCCAAACCTTAAACCCTCAACCCTGAACCTTAAACCCTGAACCGCGAACCCTTGAACCCCGAACCCTGAACCCTAAACCCGCAACCCCGAACCTTGAACCCTAAACCCAAAACCCTAAACCCTCAAGCAAATGATAAGTAGAAGGTGTGTGTTGAGCGGTTTCGCTGGCAGAGTCACAAGCAATTAAATTTTTATCCTACGGAACGTCCACAAAACAGGAAGGGTGGGCAAGAGCAGGGACGGGGCAGGCAAAGGACAGCCCTCTGCTTTCTGCCGACGGCAAAGCGCAGAGGGCAGCAGGACAGGGGCAGCGGGGCAGGGGGGAGGTCAGGGCAGCAGGGCATGGGCAGGGGCAGGGGCAGGGGCAAGGGGCAGGGGCAGGACAGAGCAAAAAAGAGAAACCAACTCAAAATTCGCACCAAATCTGCCAAAACTGCGCACCCAAACCCTACACACCTTCTATAAACCCAACCCTAAACCCTAAAACCCCCGAAACCCTAAATCCCAATCCCAGCTCCGAGGTCCGTCGACCTTGCCCTCGCGGGCTTCTACGTGCCTTGGTGAGGACAAAGGTGCAGGGCCTTCCGTCTTTCGTGGTAGGGTTTGGGCCTTTAGGGGTTAGGGATTAGGGTTTAGGGTTTGGTGGTAGGGTTTAAGGTAACAAGGCGTAGCGGTTGTCTGCAAGTTGTTTTTTTTTTGGTTTCCGCCTTTCTGCTCTCTTGCCGATTGAGGTTGTAGAAGTGCTTTTGAAGCTCATCGTCCACAAATTATTCTTCTTCTGGAACAGTGAATGGCCTGGGCCCCATTTGGGCCAACTCGGTTTTTCGTTCCCGTGCGCTTCCGGAGATCGCCAGAAAGCTCTTTAGCAGTCCCTAAGGAGATGGAACCTCTTTGACTTCGCCCTGGTGCTGTCGGGATCCTGGAGAAGATGCCGACTGCCGCGGAATCCCCCCTAGCTGCGCATGGTCTCTCCCCGGCCAAAACCCCCAAAAAGGTTTGCGATCGTGGAGAACGTGTTGGCCTACGATTGGATGCAAGGCACCCAGGAGCTGAGAGAAGCCCCGCCCCGTTTTAGGCCTCTCCGCTCACCGCCGGCCCGGGCAAATGACCAATAGTTGGTAATACTGAGTAGTTTATCTAGGACGACGACGTCGACTCCGGTGTGATGATGGTGGTGAAAGTCATGCTGTTGGTGGTGCTTGTAGTAGGCATCTGGATACTGGTTAGGATGGCGATGATGAACAGTGGTTGATGCATGCTGGTGGTGGTGATGATGATGAAAGCTGCGAGGACAGCTATGTTGATTACGATGCTTTGATGGCGATGACAGTGCTGATGTCATCATGTTCATGAAAGTCACGATTATGTTGGTGGCGACGGTAGTGACGGTACTTGCTTTCTCTTTTTGTCTTGATACTTCTCGTTCTTGTTGCCTTCAGACCGGCTGCCGCTCATGTTGCTGTCGCGGTCACTGTCTTTGTTCTTCCAGCTGCGGTGCCGTCGCTTCGCAGGACACTGGCGTCAATTTGAACTTCCTGAGGCGGGCATCCCGACCGCCGCAGTCAAGCGCCGTAGCAAGCGAAGGAAGACAGACAAGCGACTCTTGTGCTTCTGACCGGGTAGGGTTGATGTCGATGGCTATGCTGTCATATGCCGATGACGGAGTTAATGATGCGTAGGTGTGGGAGGATGGTGACGAGGTGTGCAGCACACTCTGCTTGAAAGGCTCTTCCGACTCTGCAAGATTGTGAAGATTCTGCGTATTTTCCGAACGCTGAAGTTCTTCAGCGAGCTGCGGCTCATGCTGGACTGCAGCCTGGCAGCAGAAAAGTAGCCCGAGAGTCGCGGAGTTCTCGTCCTTTCATCTACATCCCAGGCATGATCGGTTCGCTGCTGAACGCTGGGGCCCTGGCGGGCCGGCCCTCACGAAACCTCACCTCGCTTCTGAGCTTCGCCCATGGGCCCTCGCGCTGAAAGAGTGCCCAAGCTGCGAGGTGATTTGGTGCATCGTCATGCTGGCTGGGGCCTTGGGGAGCGCTTGCTGCGTGTCAGAGCTGAGACCGAGACCCCCTCAATGTCGACACCCCACACACACACACATACTCTCTCCGGTAGGTCTTTGTGATGTACGTCTTTGCACTCTTCGTGCAGCAGCTCCTGGCCTCCCACCTCATCGAGGATGGGGGCCGTGAAAGCCGCCCGGCGCAGGAAGCTAGAAGAGACTTTCGCTGGCGTGACCCAGAAGCCAGGGTTCCAGGATGCCCCAAAGAGGTGTGACCTTGGGCCCAGCTGAGACTGAACCCGGACCCCTAAAGGCATCCCCGACCTCCGAGTCTTCACACCTTCACATTCTATTCTATCCACCCCTTGAAGGGCTTTGAGGTGCTCTTCCCGACAAATCCTGCACGACAAATCTGCTCTGTCTATCTACGAAGGTGGGGTCGCTTCTAGTCCTTTCATACTCTTATAGCTCTTATTGAAGTGTGGTGTACATTCTATACAAAAGTGGGGGCCTTCGCCTTTACTTGTAGCCTTTTCGTCGTCAGGTGAAGAGGACGTCCGAGAGATCCAGCGATTCTTCGGCTCCGCAGTCGCCTCAGAAAGAGCGGAGCCTCAGCGAGCCGAGTGCCCCGAGCCCAGTCGGCTGGGTCGTCGCCCTATCGATCGGCTGGGTCGGATCCGATTCGATCCGATTTGTTCTCCGCTTTAGAGCCTCCTGCATTGCTTTTTTCTTTGGCAATGGCAGCCTTCATTTGGTTTGTCTTGGGCTTATTTCTTCCGGGAGCCGGCGCCGACCTCTCAGGTGGGCGCAACCTTGCTGACGCTCTTCCAAGCCTGCACCTCCGGCGTGGACTGGAAGGAGCCGGAGCCTGGCAGTCTCCGAGCCAGAAAAGCCCTAAAGAGGTGGCAAAATCGGGGAACCTACTGGAATTTTCCACATTTAGAATTTCCCCCTTAGGCTTAGGGTTTCTATGTAGAGGTACCTATTCGTAAAGACTTTTCAGGGCCCCAACACCACAACCCAGCTTCAAACGGAGGCATGATTTCGGACGCGTCGCTTCGGCAGCCGAGTGCTGTTCATGCGAATAAAGAGATGTAAGTGACGTGATGATACGATTATGTTATGTTATGACGACGGTGGTCACCGGGGCGATCATGATTCAATGATGATCGGATGCTTGGTCGTTGCGATGTTGAAGCTTGTGATGCTTACAGCAAAGCTGACGGCGACAACAAGGCTGGATATGTGTGTGGCTGCAACTATCAATGCCTCTCCTGCAACTTCCGCAGAACAAGCAACAAACAGCAACCAGCAACAGCAACAGAAACAGCAGCAACAACAGCACCAGCAACAGCAACAGCCACGGCCACGGCCACAGCGACAGCGACGGCGACAGCAGCAGCTACAGCCACCGCGATAGCGACAGCGACGGCGGCAGCAGCAGCAGCAGCAGCAACAACAACAACAACAGCACCAACAAGAGCAACGGCAACAGCAACACACAACAGCAACACAACACCTAACAGCAGCTGCACCAGCAGCACCAGCAGCAGCAGCAGCAGCAGCAGCAGCAGCATCAGCAGCAGCAGCAGCAGCAGCAGCAACAGCGGCAGCAGCAACAGCAGCAGCAGCAGCAGCAGCAGCAGCAGCAGCAGCAGCAACCGAAACAGCAACCAAAAACACAACGAGCACAACAGCGACAACAACCACGGAAATTCTAGTGCTAGTAGTCTTACTAGTAACCCGGAAGACCGCTTTGAGAGACCGGATGCCAGGATCCGTTCGACGTGCTCAGGATCTCCGGGCCCGGCACCCTAGTAGTGGGTGAACCCTCGAGCTGTTATCGTTTTGATTCTCGGGGCTCGCTCCCATCGGACTCCTCTCAGCATCTGCAGCACGTTCTGCGACGATGCGATGCGTCTTGCGAGCGTGTTGTTGGCTTGGACACCAAGCTGTGAATCCCGAAGCTGCGCAGAGAGAGACTCAGCTGCCCGCACAGCCCTAAATGTTGACCGGATGTTGTGAAGTCGAAGAGCCGTGGACGGGGTGATGCTCCTGCCGCCCAGTTATGTAAGCCCCCAGCAGGCCTCTACAAAATCAGATTTTAAAGCCCTCCCTGAAGCAGGGATGTGCTGCCGGCAGCCTTCCTGTTCTACGTAGCCTTTGTCTTCATCTCCGTCTGGTGTCTCGATCAGCACATAAATGATGTGGATTGCTGTCATGTGCACGGCAGTCCATGGTGATTCGATCATGGCGACGGTTGCAATTGCTGCAATGATGTTTGGGTATGCCACTTGTAAGGCTTCTAAGGTTTCGCATCGGGTATTGCCACTTTATGGCCTTACTGTAGGTGTTGGTGCAGGCGTCGTAGTGGCTAGGTAGCTTTAAGCTGTTGTCCTTATCTGCGGCACGAGTACCGCAGATTTGTGGCAATGTCCGAAGACATCGCACCGACAGGAACATCATCACGAGTACCTTCGTGGAGAAGGCGTGATCTTCGGTGAAGCTCCTTTTGGGGATTTTTTGGGGTGTGAAGTCTGGCGGCGAGCTCGCCCCCCAAAAGAATCCCAAATGGAGGGTCCCCAGAGATGCGGGTTCGGGCTTGCCTCCTCGAGTTCACGAGGCCCTAAACTCTGAGCCCGAAGCCCTAAACCCTAGGTTCGGGCTTAGGAGTTTAGGTATGCCCCCAAACCACACAGAGAGTTCCGATGCTCATATGGATCTCCACTTAGGGGCATCTTGGTTTCTGCTGTGCCAGGCGTTGAAGCTGGCGCAGCCGGACATCGACCTCCTGGTCATGGAGCAGCAGCTCCAGGACTACCAAGACACGCAGATGCTGGCCAGGGGCCCAGAAAGGAGGTTTCAGGGTTCGGGCGGTTCGGCCGGTTTGGGGTTTAGGGGTTTGGGCGTTCGGGGTTTCAGGGTTCGTTCGGGTTTAGGGACATTCGAGATGAGGGGGTTGACAAATGCCGAGGAACATGTAGGGCCGTGCAGAAGATTTTGGTGCATGCCCCAAAGAGACGTTGACGTATGATTAAATGCAGACAACAGGATTATTCAGAGAGTTGAGAATCAAGGAGATATATCGAAATATCGAAGCCTAGGCCCTAAACTTCAAAGTGTGCTGTAGCTCAATATAGAGGTCGGATCACTTAGTAATAATCACCCCGTATAGTCCCTGTGTAATTGTAGTATTTTGGCACTATGCAGTGTACCCGAAAACCTCGCCTCCCTATTCTGTGCCCTGGTTCTGTTTATGTGGCCTGGGGCAGCGAGGCAGAGCTCTTCTCGGACATGCTGCAGACAGACGAGGACGGTGTTCCTCGCGTTGGGCTGGGTACCCAGATTCAGACGACGCTTTCCACCTATGCTAGCAAAGATGAAGATCCTGCCGATGATGCTGCCAAGCTACTATTACAAGTGCTACGACTACTGCTCCCGCACCCGATTCACAGCGGTTTAGATGTGGTATTTCTGCTGTTACTACGTCTGCGACTGCGTCTCGATGGCTACTTGCTACTGGTCATCAACATCCATAGTCGTCGTCATTCCACCACCAGCAGCAGCAACAGCAGCAACAGCAGCGGCAGCAACGGCGGCGGCGCGCGCGGCAGCGGCAGCATCAGCGGCTGCGGCAGAGGCAGCGCCAGCAGCCAGCACACCAGCACAACAGCACCGGCATTGCCACGGCCACTGCCACCGCCACTGCTGCCGCCCGCCACCAGCAGCACCAGCAGCCCCAGCAGCACCAGCAGCACCAGCAGCACCAGCAGCACCAGCAGCACCAGCATCACCAGCATCACCAGCATCACCAGCATCACCAGCAGTACCAGCAGCAGCAGCAGCACCACTGCCGCTGCCGCCACCGCCACCACTATTCTAACTATGCCGTTGCACATTTTCCGCGAAGTTTCTATGCTAACATTCTGCCGTCCTCCGTCTGAGGATGGAGGAGTTTCGGCACCTTGTGGAGAACAGCGACTTCCGCTCCTACCTACAGACAAGGCCTCTTAAAAGGGCTGTTTTCGCTGATTCCCATGCGTCGGTTCGTCTCTGCGGCGTGTTACCTCCCCTCCCCTGCACAAAAAGGGGGATCGACATCAAGAATGCCGAGACCTTCTTCAAGATGCTGGTAGAGCTGTGACTGGCCGGCACCGAGGAGTTCCGGCGCCCGAATTAGAATCCTTGTTAACTCCCTACAAAGGCCCCCGACCTCCTGAAGCCTGAAAGCAGCTTCCGTCAAGACCCCAAGGCACGGAGAGCCAACCATCGACGCCATCACTTTTGCAAATGCTTGTGTGCGAATGAAAGGTCGGCTTGAGCACGGGGGGGGGGTTAGGGTTCGCCAGCATCTTCAACAGTCCCTGGAGTCTCAGAGTCTTAGAGTCTGCGATCGATGTTTTTTGGAATTTTTTCCTGCCGAGATTTTTCCCCGGTCCCCTATGATCTTTGGGGGCAGGTGCGGCGACAAGCATCGACCTGCAGACTGCCCGGGACCCCGGACACCGGCCCGGATTGAAAGGTCTTCTCTGAAAGGGTTTAGGGTTTAGGGCTTATACGTAAGCCGCCCAAAAGACTCTCTCGGAGCCCGAGTTTCGTGACTCCGTGTGTTTTTTTGGCTGCTTCTCTGTACTCTTTCTGTTGCCTGTCTCCTTCATCCTGCAGCAGTTTGCTCTCCTTGCAAGATCTCCTGCAGGTAATGTATACGACGCACCTCATGAACAAGGATCAGCGACGCGCCTTCCAGTTTATGCCGCTTGGAAGTGACAGGATGCGAAGTGCGTTGCAATGTCTGTGTGCTGTCAGCAAAGCTTATGCTGTTCTTGTTCATGGGTTGTTGCTACAGCCATTGCTCCCACTGCTGCCACTGCTGCTACTGCTACTGCTGCTACTAATGCTGCTGCTCTTCTTACTACTACCACAACAACAGCTACGACTCGTCCACTCTTACGCCTACTCCTCCCCCCACTCCTGCGTCTACTCCTCTGCCACGCCGATGACAGCGGTCGTTGTGAGCCCGTCAGGTACAGTCGGTTGAAATCCATCGAGTCCATGCTCCGAGCATCCGGGATGCACTCTTGGGGTCGAAGTGGTGCCCCAGTGCTGAGAAGGCTAAGAAGTACGCTTTGTTATCTGGGTGTAGCCGAAAAATGTTCACTTGCGTTTTAGTTTCGAGTAGTTTTGGTGTTTAAATTTCAGCTTTGAATATGGCTTCTTTACTGTGGAGCCCGGAAGCACTCAATTGCGTCTTAGTTTCGTTTTATGGGTGTTTAAATACTTGTTGTATTTCAGTGCGGAGCCGGAGAGCATTTAATTGCGTGTTTGAGTCCTCGCAAACTTCTCGAGTTTACATTTCAGCATTCAGCCGGGCTTCTTCAGGGTGGAGCCGCAAGGCGTTAAACTGCATTTTCGTGTCGTTTCATGTTTTTGGGTGCTCATGTTTCTGAGTTTCAGCATGGCTTGGTGTGCACCATTCAATAACATCGCCGCCTCATGTTTGAGGTTGCATGCCACCCGAAAGCAAGCATCATCAGCATCATCGCCACCTGTTTTCGGACAGAAGGCGGGCCCGAAAGCCAACATCATGCACATCATGTCCCCCCGCGTTTTCACAACGGACAGCGAGCATCATCAGCATCATTTCCTCTTTTCGGTGGCAGCCGGTGTTCGGAAAGCAAGCATTGTTGGTTTCCATTTGTTGCCGTTTTCTCGTGGCCTCGAAGCGGTGCTCCCGGCACGGAGAAGTACGATTTGTTGCAGCTGTCCTGGTCTCGAAGTGGTCTCTACCGGCTTGCTTGGCCTCGAGGTGGTGCCCCCAAACCCTAAACCCTAAACCCTTAACCCTTGCTAAGAAGTGCGAACAGACACCTTAAGCCCAAGTTGTCACAGAAACCCTGGGTGCCCGACGCCCTGATGCATCGCAGTTCTGGCGTAATTGAGAGATCCTCTCAGGACAAGGCCGAGGAATTTGACTGGGACGCGTCCTCCTTCCAGCCCGGGACACAGGAAGTGACAGGGGGCCACGGGTCTTTTTTCTTGCAGCTTACGGGTTGGGCTTGGGAGTTTTGGGGGGATCTCCGCTTTTTCGGAACGCAGGAGGCTTTTTTTTTCACAAAAGAGATGAACAGAGGATGAGCAAGAACTGTCTTAGGAGCTTTTAGGAAGCTCCCCGCCCTTCCCCGAAGCTCCAGGTCCAGGCTCAGCCGGTAATTTTTTTTCCCAACATCTATAACCTTATAAGACGTTGGATGGGAGATTGAGAGACTCCTGCGCTGAGAAAAAAATGGCCCCGGGCGCTCAGGTCGCCGAAGAGTCAGCCGAACCTGAGCCGAGAGTGGTCGCGCTCCACTCCCTTGTCGCGCCCTCGGATTGGTAGCATAGGGTTTTAGGGCTTTAGGGCTTTAGGGCTTTAGGGCTTTAGGGGTTTAGGGGTATGACCTCTTGTGTTAGTGGCTGGGATCTTTCTTTCCTGCGGCCCGCTGCCATGTCCAAGCTTGCCTTGACGATGATGGTTCTTTAGCAAGCAGATGCTAACCCCACACCTCACACCCTATACCCCCCCTACACTTTCAACCCATTTCTCAAACCGCCTAACACTTCAACCCTTAAATCCCTCAAAACACAAAGCACCTCCCAACAATCAATACAACAATCCCGAATCATCCAGAACACAACCCAAAACCCAAAGCACCTAAACAATACTTAACCTAATCCATAAAATAACCAATATCCTAATATGAGGTGTGGGGTGACCCCCTAATAGAAAAAATCCCCAAAGCCCATAGCCCTGAACTATCTTGCCCTCAACTGTTCCGCTGGACATCGCTTGCGCTTTTCTTCAATGACAAGCTGCTGTTTTTGTCTTCAAGGTAGCTCAAGGAAAAGCAGTGTTCACAGCTTTCCCCGATGGAGGACGGCGATGCTGACCCCAGTGAGTACTCCGTTCTGAGCACGCAGGAGGGACATGATTACGAGCATACACTAGCCGAAATCTTCAGATCGTATGGGTACGCTGTACAGACGAACGTGTACTACTTCCGTTCTGGCGAGAGCTGGATGCGTGAGCGCGACACAGGCTCGCTTCACTCTGCTCGTAAGTTTTCTTATATCATGAAGGAAAAGAGCCAGCGTATCAAATCCACCGAAGAGATCAAGAATGAGATGCAACAGCATGTGACTCGAGTCAGAAGAGCTGGCTTCAAGAAGTTTGCTTGCCTTCTAGATGAATGGCAGCGGCAGGGAGCAGAAGCACAGGTCCCGATGGCCTACTCGCGGACTGAAGTTCCAATGCACGAGGTGGATATACTGATTGAGCCTTTGCGCACAACCCCGGTGCCGCGGCGCGAGCTGGCAAAAGTGCTAGTGAGAAGCTCGCTCGGCGAAGGGCTCGACTTGAAAGAAGTTGCGGAAACCTATTTCAAAAACGGGGCACTTCTTCAAGTAACCACGTCTGGCAAATTCACCCAGAGAAGGCGCCGTCAACTACAAAGACAGGATGACGTGGCGGCGTATTTGCAGTACAAAAGTTTATTCTTCTTCAACGGTGATGATCTGCCCAGTGTCAGAAAGCAGGTCGGTGATCAGGCAGTATGGTTTCACAAGATTTCGGTCAGGGACTTTCACATCTTGACTGTCAGCGCCCAGAACGAGACCATCAGCACCCTGAACAAGACCGTCAAGCAGCTGGAACGTGGCATGTGGGTTCTCTTGTGTGTTGCTGCCGTCGTTGTGGCATGGATGTGCAGAAGCACCACAAGCTGAAAAGAAGCTTTGTGCTGTTGAGTCCGAGCCCCAGGTGCGGCCTAGTTGTCTCCTGGGCAGCTGCGTCGATGGCATGAAAAATACAGAGCAGAAGCTTGCATGCGGTGATTTGTCTATGCTTGCAGCTTAGTTGCGAAGTTGTCCTAACATTTAGCACCGGGTAGAGCCGAGCCCTCGACAGCCGATAATGGTTCTTTCTGAGTGATCCTTCTAGCATTGTCGCTCCTGCATCTGCAGTCATGAGGCTCACAAGCAAACACCACCGTGCTGTTTCACGATTTCTGTCTGTTTGACGCAATGCGCCGGCTCTGCAGAATTCGGTCGGTGTGGCTTTAGTTGGAAGAAGGATTGCGCCTCGTCCGATCTAGCAAGGACCACCATCCCGGATACAGTGGATTCCGAGCTCGAGCGGCTCGTGGACTGGTTCAAAGAGGTCCAGCCGGGCAAGCCGACAATTTTTTATTCCCGAAAGCTTCAGCGAA